CTTGGGAGTTAAACGGTTAAAGATCCTTATACACCTACAGCGCTCGGAACAAACTTTTAATCCAGACACTCCCTATCAGGAGCCCATTATTTGATAATGGGCTCCTGTCTCTACCTAACAAAAAAAGACTACTTGATACCGTTTCGAATCTTCACCAAATTATTTATTCATGTTATCACAACACGCATCAATATCAGCGGAAGAATAAATGTAAGATAAACGTATAGTTTCTGGTGTAATTTGAAAAACCAGTTTGAATGATGATAAAAAGGAAACACGACTTCCAACTGGATCCTGTCATGGATGCTAAAAGGAAAGATCATTTGTTTCGTATCACAATCGAGTCACAACTTTTCATCCTGTCTGACATTCAACACTTTTAGGAAGCTCTTTCTTTGCCAAAGCTATCGATGTCTGCAGTTTTAAGATGTTGCACTTTCCAAAAGTTTTACTCATGACGTATTAAACACCGGACATCAATTTCTCTAAATGCCGGGTTGAAATTTTCGTTAAAATATCTTGCATGGTTTTTTTAGAATTTAGCTCATGATTTCCCAGCAGTTGGTCTTTTATCGATCAATCAGAGACTTTATTACTAAAATCATAAAAGTGATACTATTGTATAAATGATTCTGATTTTTAACACTGATCAAATTTTAATCAAGGACTCATGATGCATTTGCCCGTTTTCGTGCTGTTGTGCAATTATATCCTCGTGAGAATTAAAAGTATAATCACTCCCAATTTCGTCCAAACATTACATCATGCACTTGTTATCATTTGATAACAATATGACGGGATGGAAGGAATTCGATTCTAACTAATTTACGGGAAACTCCACCAAATTATTTTGGTAAAAGACAACCTTTTCCTTCTTGGTGGTAACAAGTGTGATTTATTCACATTAACAAGTTAAGGAAATGGTTTTTCAACTTTTCAGTCAAGAAAGTCAGATTTTTTGTTACATTAATAAAAAAATAGTATGAACTGCGTCTTAAATGACTTTTATTCTAGTGTCTTCAAATAGAACGATATTATCGCTGAGCCTATTCTACTAAAAGGACGTTTCAAAATTAGTTATTAGATCAATCAAAACAAGTTCTAAATTATCTTCAAAACAGAACTTAAACAAAATGGTAGAGGATGGAACGTCGAGCAAAATAGTTTTGATATTTTTATTCAAGGAACACATTGAGAGCACGAGAAATTGTATATAAGCAGAGAGAAACTTTTCTCGGCATCAAAAAACTTCAAGGAATTGAGGAAAGAAATAAAGCAGCAATTGGAGAAGACATCCTCACCGTAGACTGCAAAAAAATAAAAGGAATTAAGCAATGGAGGTTTCCAAGGTAAAACATTAATGCCCTTTGTTCCTGTATAACGTATTCGTAAGAATTCTTTTGAATCTTTTTAATCATTTCTCAATGAAATTTTTTCAATCGCTTTACCTGGCAACATGGTTAGGTTTGTGATCTTGTCTGTTTCAATAATTTAGAAATACTTTTTAAAGGCAAAAAGTTTTCCTAAGAAAGTTGACAAAACAATTGTATAGTCTAGGTTCTTATCGTCATCCTCGCGATTTTTCTTCACTGTGGAAATGGCCGGGCAACTGGTTTGGACAAAATCATGCACAGAATTCAAAATGGCGGAGTCCCGTTTACCCAGGGTGCTGTAGCGTGGAGATCGAAGAGGTCCCCTGGTGACGAGCCTAGTTGTTACACAGGCAGAGTTGTGTCCTTCACTTTGCAAAGCAGCAAAACAGTAACTTCTCCTATTTGTAAGAAGATTACATCTTCCGGAACCGCATGTTTTAGCTCCATGGCAAACAACAATAACCAGAGGAAATGTGTTCCGTCCAATTTCATCACAGAGGAAGGAAAACGATATAACACTGCCTGTTCATGTGCACCATAGAATGGTTAAAGTTGGGGCTTTTCAACTCCAAAATTTTTCAGGAAGACCGAACTATATTTATATCAACAAGAATATATTGTAATCAACTGCTGAGATGGACTCTTTGAATCCGTATTTGTGAAATATTTATTTGTTGTATATTAATTTGTTGTGTCAATAAAGTAGTTATATAGTTTTTTCAAATTTTTGTCAATAATCTCTCTACACTTAGATACAATTTCGGAACACTATCGAGCTCCAAAAAGCGTTGTTAGCAAGGATTTATTTATTTACTTATTTATTTATTTATTCATTCGTTCAAACTTATGCTCTGATTGGTGCACGATATAGGACAGGTTTCTATGTGGAGACAGGAGAGGTCCCCTGGCGATCCTACTAGTTACACTAGCTACTATTGACTGACCACTTTGCCAGATAACAAGACTGAGGTATTCCCCGTTTGTAAAGAGAGCACCACTGCTGACGCGGCTTGTGTTAGTTCGATGGTAAACAACAACAATACGAGGAAATGAGTACCATCCAATTTTTTCACAATTGATGGAACTGAAATTCACGGAAGCTGCTCGTGCGCACCCTAGAGATATTTTAGAGCATTTTCGTTTGGAATGGAGGACTTGAAGTCATGTGGTATCAATATTCTAGCTTCTTATAGAGCTGCTCTATACAATTGATGGAACTGAAATTCACGGAAGCTGCTCGTGCGCTCCCTAAGGATATTTTAGAGCATTTTCTTTTGGGATGGAGGACTTGAAGTCATGTGATATCGATATTATAGCTTCTTATAGAGCTGCTCCATACACCTGCAGCGCTGATATCTTTTAATCGAAACACTTTTGAGCTGTAAAAGAAAGTTAAATAATAATGTTAGCGGGTTAGACGCCTATTTTATTACAAGCGAGTATCTTGACCCTTAAATTAAATGATTAGTAATTCGTTTTGCAGGTATTTTTGCTGTAAAAGTAGGAATCAATATAAGCGAAAAACATGCAATGCGAATGCATGATCCTGATAAATAAACACTGATCTTTCTTGTAAGAGGGCTCCGAGTACATTGTGGTGCAAATTTAGAAACCAGTTTTCAGGAGTACGAGCGGGAAACACATTTTCGACCGAGATCCTGTCGTGGAAGCTAAAAAGAGAAATCATTTGTCACGTATCACAATCATATCACAACTTAAAATCAGAGTACCGCATATGTATGTTTGGAAGAACTATAAATGTATCCAGCCTTAGGTTTCTATACTTTCGAGAACCCCTTTAATGACGTCTTGAAGAAAAAAACTAAGACCACCTTACCAGTAAAATGAAACAGTGTTTAGCTTCAGTCAAACATTTTTTATCACTTTTTGCATTCAGGTCATGATTTCCCAGCAGTTGCCCTTGAATCTACTGTGACCGTTCAATAAGAGAGCATGAAAGAATTACTACGATATAGTTTGATTTAAATGATGAAGACAATTTAATCAAAGATTTATGTTACAAATGTTCGTTTTCGTGCAACTCAGGGTGTAATTACTTCCCCATGCGTCACGTACAGATGCGTCACTCACTTTGCCGAGCAACAAAACAATAGCTGTTCCTACTTGTATGATAACGTCTTACCAAACTGCATGCATCAATCCAGTAGCAAACAACAACAATCAAAGGAAATGTGTTCCATCTCGTATAATCAAGTGAAATGATTGTCGTTTGATACAGCCCGTTCATGTGCACTATAGAATTGTTTAAGCTCAAGCCTTCTGAATTCTACAATGTTTCAGGAACACAAGAAATACACTTATATCGAACCTTACAATATTCATCATTGAAGTATGTCTCATAATATATATATATATATATATATATATACAAGTATTTAAGAACTTATATACATTAAAAAACTTACTGACCCTTTTTTTCGCATTCGTTTACAAGTAACCTTCACATCTTTAAACAAACTCTTTGAATCCGCGGTTATGAAATATTCATCGGTAACTTTCTTAAATCAATAAAGTATAACTTCTTTAAAATTTTGTCGCTGATCTTTCTGCATCACTTATAATTATATGCAATTGAATTTGAAGCATCAATAGTGGAAGATCTTGTTCAACCATCTTGCAAAGGGAAAATATTTGAACTCTTTGATCCCTAAGAATGACTGACTTCTAACTTCTCTTTACAATATCAGCCTCAGTTGAAAGAAATATGGCCAATTTGGTAAGCTCCTGTTGGTCAATCAAATTCTCCTTGTCAGCACCAGAGGAAATGTAAAGAAGGCGGTGTGGACGGAAAATGAATACCAATGTTAGGGGGTGAGGGGTAAATGAAAACATTAAGCTTTTCAGTTGTTATGATCTTCATTGAATTCATTTAAGGGTGGCCTTCTAATTAAAGAAGTTGACATTTCACTATTTTTGTGGTTTTTCTAGATGTATCACAGGGTGTATTTTACGAACAGATAAGATAGTATTCCCAGCAGAATCATTTGTTAAAGTCTCAACTGAGCCCACGATAACGTATAACTGCATAATAAAAAAAAATAAGTTGACCTGTATCATTCTCATTTTTAAGACTTCTGCTCTCTTCTGTTTTTGAATATTCCATATCTATAAAAACTTTCTTTTCTCAATTTGTCTGCGATATGAAAAAATAAACCTGAATGAAAAATACCTATCTATTCAATTATGCGCCTCTACACCATTTCTTTGAAAAAAAAACCTTCAGTTTCATGTTTTTTCTCCTCTTGGTGAGTTAGAGTCAAATTGAATTTTATCAAATCTTTCTTTTTGATTTTTTCCATTTCGCTAATTTTACTGCTCGAAAATCCAACTTGACTGAAGATGCGTGTTTTTTCCAGATTCACATATATTTTGGGTCAACTTTTTGACGTAGATATTCTGCATTTTAAACGATTATGACAAGATTTGTTTAGTTTTGGTAACTTAATGCACGCTTCTAGATATTTCCGTCTTTTTAAATCACACAAATAATACGATAGCTTTACCAATTCCATGTTGCTCCGAAACTGTGTTGATAGCACCGAGCTTCTAAGCGAAACTTTCTTGGTCCAATGAGTGGGCCTTTATGATCATAACAAATAATATCAGTCTCCTCACCTCGGATAATTTTATTTCCTTACTTCCAGTTACTTAATACAAATAACATTTTTAACAACTACTAACCTATTCATTTAATGTTCGAGGTTTATTTCTGGGAACAGTTTAAGCCAACAGACCATATACATCTGCGCAAGTTTTGCCGCCGTTATCGCCCTCTGTAAAGCCACGTAAATCTTCTCCGTACCACAGGCGGAGCTCGGTGTTAGCGAAGATACAGTGGGGCTTCTTGGAGGCACAAAACACGAGGACAGAAGACGAAGTGGTGAAACCTACCAGACTGTACCATCCACCACTATCGGTAGAGATAGGGGCCAATAATTTGTTTGCATGATCTGTTATAACAACACCAAGACCTGAGGCATTTGCTCCACAACCCCAGTAGCTGTAACCCTTTTTAACTCGTGAATTGCGCGCATGCGCAAGAGCGAGTTATAGATACGATGTGGGGAATGGAATTCGCTCGCTCGCTCGCTCGCTCGATTGGTCGATTCCTGTAAACTTTTTTTAGATTTTAGGCTTTTGAGTGCATTTTATAGTTTTTGGCGAGCAATAAACAGACGAAATGGCGACCTTTGTTACTAAGAATAGTGGTGGGGTGAAAAAGAAGCCAATGATAATCTTAAAAGAGTTTTTTTTTTTCGTTTAAGTTTCAACAAGCGGCGCCAGCGACTGGCAGGCATGCAAGGATTCACTCTGAAATAACAGAACAACCTTCGTTTTTCATAAAATTGTAATTTACAATCCTTGAACTTGAAAACAATCCGAAGATTCATTGAAAATATCACTTACTGCGAAGCGCTCGGAGTTTACAGATGTTCAAAAGCTTTTTCTGTTATAGCGTGAGATTGAGGACAAAATTGATCATTACGTTTCGTCGCGTGTGTTTTTCCTGTGTGAAGCAACAAAAGATGCCGGCGACTGACGAAATAACAAGTTAACAAGAAAATCAGATAACACCTAAACAAACAATTTTAGCTACCGATTTCAGTGAATTTTTAAAGAAAAATTTTCTTTTAAGTTTTTAAGACAATTTGAAGATTCAACATACATACAACAAAAGAAAAGAAGATTATTAACGCGGGAAAGAATGAAATTGTTACACACCACGAAATTGATAACTAGGCCTGAAATGAAATTCTATCTTGTTATTGATTATACGTTGCCTAGCACGTGACTTAAATCTACCCAGGCGGAGATCCAAAATGACGGTGGCAGGCTTGGCTTAATTATATCACTCAAAACTCGTACCCGTTTGTCTCATTTGATAAAGAGGGAATCGTTAATGTTTTCATTAAGACAGTATTGCCTTGATTTTCTAATATTTACAACGAAAGACAGTAAATTTCACTTTTCACCCACATTTACTTCCAACCTTTTCTTTTCAACCAGAAACAAAAATGATAGACGTTTAAAACACATGACATCATCCACCTTGTCAAATGTAATAGCATGATCATTTCAATTGTAATGCCTTCTTATCCCAACGTTACTTTGTTTCTTTGCTACATTAGCGAACACTGAACTACTGCTCGTACTCTAGATATGACAATCAACCACAAAATTCCCTAAAACAGATAACATTAAACAAAATCTAAAAAATCATGTGTCAATTCACGAGTTTGCTCACAGAGCACTTTGATTGTTACATGTAACCGATCCTGTTCGGTGCACGACCATGAACGAGCTCACGAAAATGTTCCAAGAGTAGGTAAACTTGCCATACTGATTGTCTAGGGCCCCGAAGCAGACTGGACTCTTGTTAAGCTTCATCCAAAGAGGACAGGACTTTGAAGAAGCGTCGTTAATGATCACAGTGGCCACCAGGGTGATTATGATAAAATTGAATAACGTGCCCATTTGGTCTTAATCTGAAGTATAGAGAAGATTTATAATTGTAGCCAGTTTTAATAGGGACAGCAGAAGGATGACACTTCTACCTCAGTTCATTTTGAGATTCGAGAGTAACTCAAGAACAACGAATTGTAAGGCTCAAAAGGGAAATTACTGTTGCATATCATATATCAATTCTGGCAACCAGGTCAGAACTTTGATGCAACGATAAAATTGATCAACTCTCAAATCCGTGATTATTAAGTGCCCGATGTCATAAACAAAATGTTAAAAACGATTTCAAGTAAACAGTTAGCATCATTCAAATTTCTCAGTTACCTTTTGGAATGACGAGAGGAAAAGAACAAGCTTGATTATTGAGTCTCCGATGCTGCGGCTGACGACAAACAGGAATGAGAAATAGGGCAATTGCAGTCAACGTCGACTGCGTCAGAAGTAATAAACTGGAAATTTCTCGTTTGTAAATACGTTTCTTCCTTATTAAAACAGTAACACTATTGACGATAAATCAGTTATATATAATTACGATGGTTAACAAAAGATTCATTGACATAATACTGCCACAGCATGGTTCAAGTTCATTTCATCGCTCAATTGCTATACGTCTTGAAGATGAATGTCTGTTCGTTTTATTGATCTCGACATTACTTATGGTTATTCCTTTTACCGTTAAATCTTCGATACGACTATGCTCTAGTCGTATGCTTTCGATTTTTTTCAGAGTCTGTGCTTCTATCTGCGGGTCATAACGCCACGTTTTAAAGTTTTATGAATTTGATTATATATCGAATGTTTCAGGCCCTGGGGCGACGATTAAATTGTTGAATAGTTGCGAACTTAATTCTAAGATAAGTTTCTATGAACATTGTCAACGGCAGTCTCAATGCACGATGTCAAAGAAAATCATAAGAAAAAAATTGAAAAGAAAATTCTTCATAAAAAACAACCTGCACCTGAAACAAACGTCTCTGCCATCCTTTGTCACACATGGACTCATTCTACCCTAAAAATCACTTCAGGGAAAACAAAACTTGATGAAGAACTATCACACGAACTACCAAACTACCTACCCTCGGTAATTGATCTTCATGAAATGGCTCAGCAGGTGTAAACAGCTTATCAAAATGGTCAGTTTTTCATTCCTTTTCAGTATTCCGTTTGCTTTCCTTAGTTAGGCATACTTGCCTTTGTAACTGAATTAAAACAACACCAAGACGGAACCTAATGAATATTCCTATCATTAATTCAGGTTTTGTTTTTGAATTTTTGACGAGGAAACAAAAGAAGAATGGTCAGATTTGTCGCCAAATTAGTGCTAAGCTCGCTGCCGGTTGACGCTAAAACGTTTGTGTCAGAAAATCCGCGGAAAACTACGGTTTTTCCAATGATTAATGTAGTGTGAACATTTAACAGCATGATGAGAAGAAGGTGCCGGAGTCAAGTTCGTAAATAAGCCTTTGTTGGTAACTTATTGTATTTGCATTGATTTAAGCTCTCTAAAGAAATCGTGCTGGCTCCGCTTTTTACATACACAATTAGATGAAACCCTTGCAGAAAAAAATTGTAAAGTACGGAAAACAACCTTATCTATTCTTTAAACAACAACGGAAGTTGGAACACCTTAGCATAGACGATGGTGTAGTACGAACTACTAACCTGAAGAATATTTGCTCTCTTTGGTAGTTATCATATCGAACAGGAATTAGTTTTCTTTGACAAATTCATGTTAGCATATCCGTACTCGGGTAATAAACCGTTCAAAAGTAAGCAGGGGACGATGCTTTGGCTATGGGCGAATTTAAAATCAATAAACATGAAGCGGATTGAAGTAAGAAACCTTAAAAATGTCTAGAACGAAAGGTTTTAAAGACCTCGCTTCCTATCCACTTCAGACATCGTATGACACAAGTATATTCAATTTTGGCAGAGAGACATCAATTATCTGAAGAATTGCTGCGTTGAGATACAGCTGAATCCCGATGTCTTGCTCCATCTACCAGAACTATTTTTTATTTCATTTGTTCGGTCAAGGTCTCCATCACTGGGGACTAGCAATTTTTAATTTTGTATCCTATGACCCTCCTATTATAACTAGGATTTTACAAGGTAAAGAGGTCTATGTAAAAATATCTGTTTTACCACTCACTGAATGAGCTCGAAGACACGCTAAAGGGTGATGTGAGCCCGCGATTTATCCTGGAAATGGTTGCTGGGAAGCATGAACTATGTTTTTTACGTCATGCTGACGTGGCAAGCAAAAGCCCTAAGTGTTTGTTCAAGAACGAAATGCTTGATACTTAGTTCGTCAAGGAATGTAAGTACTGCACACAAGCACAATCACGCTCACAATCGGACAATTTTTTTCTTCCAGTAATTTTTTTCCCGCTCTTTTCCATTGATATATCAACTGCCTTTGCCTCAAGGAAAACTAGAAACTATTTGTACTCTTTAAATTGTCCAAAGCAATAACGCTCTTTAACTACTCAGCTGAGAGGATCTAGAGTTTCACCCGATATTTACACTTTCAAATACAATTATTTAAACCGTAAGAATGCCAATGAAATGTCTTTGTTGGTAGCGGATTGACGTTAAGCAACCAGTTAATTATGCTGGGATAGTCTCTCATATACCGGGTTCTGAAATAGCTAGTAATTGAAATATAGATGTGGCAGAAGGGTAAGGAGAGAGGGTACAAGCTGGTACAGAGGACCAGTGGAACAGTGATTTGCTACCACACATTCATTTGAAAACAATTTTCTGCTAACAACCAAAGTGATTTGAGAGTGGGAAAAGAGACGATTAATAAGTTTTTAATCGGCTTGATTTGCTTTAAAATACTTTGCTTGAAAATAATGCCTAGCTGGAAAAACATAATTTAATTATATGAAGAATGGCAACGAAGCTAAGGATGCTCTTGGTGACTCACGAGAGCGTTACCGAGCCCGTGGCAGAGATAAGAAAGTACGGACCGCGCTAAGAACCAAGATTGCAAGATTCGTTACTGTGCCCTCTGAGAAAAAAAATAAATATTTAGATCAACTCACTCTTTCGAAGTTACTTCGGAAAGACAGGGGATGTGTTCAACGTTTTTCAATCGACGCCGATGTTAGACGTAGTCATTTTACTTCACTGTTGTTTTGTAGAGGAAGTCAAGAATATCTATCGACTCACGTGCACATAAATTGTTTCTGCTTGTTAAATCCTTTGTCTCACGACTTAAGGGCCTTGTATTCATTGGCACGGTGCAATTCTTGAATTTCCCTGTTACATGCTTTTGGTTTCCTGTGTAAAACCTGTTGAGCCTGTCTTTTCGCGTGTGTGTCCCATAAGGCGTCTACTGAAATTTTTTATCGATCGTTCGTCTTTGGTTCCTTGCCGATACAAAGAATGCAATTAGCCGAGTTGTTTCCTCACCACCATCGTTTTTGTAAGCGATGGAGCGCGAAGTGCGCACGGAAGAGCAAACCCACAGCGAGGGGGAAAAAGTAAAATCCTCTGAGGCTCTTCATTCACTCGCGTTATTGATGGTGACTTTGCACATCTAAAACCAATTTATTGTGATTTAGCATAGACATTTCTAGTTGTTCATTTGCAGCTCATTTCTATATTTGTTATATCCATGTTGCATCTTGATTTATTCACTGGCACCTAAGTGTTTTTTATTCATTTGCAGTCCGTATCAATCTTGTCCATCCTTACTCGTCCTTTTCCCCTCTGGTTACTTGTCATCTCTTTTAATGTTTTTCTATCTTACCGAACTTATACTTTGTAGCCATTTGTAGTCTTCTCCAGTCTGGGTCATCCATCTTCCTTCTTGGTTTATCATCACTTCTATTTTATCAAACTATTATTCTGAAGTAATTTACAATCCTTGTCAATCTCGCTCATCCATAGTCATCCTTGTTGCTTTTGGATTTCATTGTCGCCTAGCTCTTTTGTGTCTGCGTGTCTTACTAAACAGAAATTTGGTAGATTCCCTCGAATTATAGAAAGTTTTTCGAAGCACAAAATCTGACACTGCATGTCTCGATACAAATTCCTTGAGTTGCAAGAATTTTGCAAGTCTAAAAAGTGTGCTCTTGTAAACCTAACCTACACTCCCAAAAAAGGGCTGTGATAGATATCTACACTTAAGGAAGTTACCTCCGCCGTTCTCGTGACAGAGATACGGAAAACGCCAAATATTCCCCAAGCCTACAGCATAACCGATACATGACGCTATGAAATCACTTTTCGATGTCCATTTTTCGCGCTCTTCATCATGGCTCGCATCGGATCTTTCGCCCATCATTATAACAACAGGTTTGGACCTTGCTCGTCATTTGTTCAACTTCTTACGTTATGTTTTAAATCAGCTTCCCAAATTCAAGCTCACATCTCCAAATGAATCTTCTTCCTTACTGACGGAAACCAAAGTGAGAAGTGACTATGATGTCATAGAAAGTAATGAAGCAATCAGTTGCTGACGTCATTGATAAGCTGATTGTTATGGAGGGAAATTGAGTATAATTGACCAACAACCCGAACTCTCTCTTGATTGAGCAGCTATGTGATCAAACTGCTTCTTTATTTCATTAACGAGCTCAAAATGACTGACCTTCATTTCTTAATCTGCTTCTTCGCATGACACTTTCGTATCCGCCACTTGGTAAAGTTTACAAACTCAAAACAATATATGTGCGCGCGCTCTGCCATATCGTTTCACCGCGAGTGCCATACCAGTTCAGTCGTCTTCTTTACAATCCCTATCAACACGTATCTGCTACGCTTTAAGAGCCTTAATAAGCATGGAACTACAAACATAAAAAATCAAAATCCGAATAAACTAAGCCAGTCAAATAATTCAATTATTTTTAATAATTTGAATGTTACCTGCCCGGCACAACCTCATGACTTATCAAGTATAGGAGCTTTTATAGTTTGCTAGGCGATTGTTGATATGCACTTGTTTGTGATTGAACTTTTGTTCCATTTGCACGATTTTACAAAAATGATGACATT